AAAAAAAAAAAAAAAAGAATCGTGAAACGGTGCCTGTAATCTTAGGTGGATAGCCTGAGCTCAAGACTTTGAGACCAGCCTGAGTGAGACCCTGTCTCTAAAAAAAAAAAATAATAGCCAGGTGTAGTGGTGGTTGCCTGTAGTCCCAGCTATTTGGGAGACTGAAGTAAGAGAATGGCTTTGAGCCTAAGACTTTGAGGTTGCTGTGAGCTATGCCACCACAGCACTCTACTAAGGGATTCCGTCTCGATTAAAAAAAAAAAATAGAAAAACTAACCAGGTGTTGTGGTGGGTACCTGTAGTCCCAGCTTCTGGGGAAGCTGGGACCAGAGTATTGCTCAAGCCCAAGAGTTGAAGTTGCTGTGAGCTACGACACCTGGGCACTCTACCCAGGGCAACAGAGTGAGACTCTGTATCAAAAAACAAAAAAGAATCATAAAATGCTCAGTGAGTCAGCATTTCTTATGGGAACCAGAGAACTGGCTGAGTTGAAAATAGGAGTTGAGTGGTGGGGCTACAGAGGGGTGGGGGCGCTTATCATCCTCAGAACAATATTCCCAGAGCATGGGTACCAGTGTGGCCTTAGGCAATAAGGATGTAGGAGTAGCTAGACAGACCCTCCCCACCCCCTCGTGCCTGAGAGTGTGCTGCACACACAGAGACTCTGGGTGCTCAAAGACCATGACAGAGACCTGCTCTTGAGGAGGAGGAAGGGGTCAGAGGACACATCCCCTGAGAAGGCACGTCTGTGTTGGCCTGTGAGGGAGGCATGGAAGCCACCAGATGAAGTGGGCATGGGATAGAAAGGGGGCAGGCAATGGAAGGGCTGGGTACAGGCAGGGAGTGCGCTGAGTCTCCCCTGTCTCCCCTTCCAGACCCTGCATGGCGCTGGCTGAAATCAAGGCCTGCCTTGGCTCTCATGGGGCTCCGCTGGAGCCTCCCCTGTGGGGCAGAGGGAAGGAAGATGCTGAGCCTGTGGAGACTGAGAAGCCGTGGCCGCCCACCAGCCTGCTCACCTGAGCTCCACCAGCTTCTTTGCCATGGGCCAGGGCTTGTTCCGCATGGTGGCAATGAGCTTCTTTTTTTCCTCCACTTGCTCTAAGATCCGGGCCAGTTCCTCTTCAGACAGGGACTCCCCACCAGAGGCACTGGAGGCTACAGACAATGATCTGGAGGCAGGGCCAGGGGAGATACAGAGGAGAGTTGGGAAGGAGGTGGGTGTCCTCAGGAGTTCCTGAATGCAGAGAAGCCCACAGGCAAGATAACACTCCTGCCCCCTGCTTGGAAGCTATCAGTGTTTGCAGAGGCCAAAAACGCTATCCTGTAGCCCTGGGCACTGGGGCTGCCTCCTCAGACTCTGTTTCTCTGTGTCCTCCTCTCACTCTAGAGCAGCGCTGCCCATTGGAAATAGAACAGAGCTGCTTATTGTACTAGAATCATGTGGCAAAAAGAAATGGATACTTTGATAATGCATTTAATTTAGTCCAATATATTAAAAATTATAAATTAGCATATAATCAGCATAGAATTATTAGAGATATCTTAAAGCCTTTTTTAATGCTCTCTTTAAAGTCTAATACTCATTTTATACCCATAGCACACAGCAATTGAGACAATTAAACTTTCATCAGACATACTTAATGGGTATTTGAATTTCATAAATGAGTAGATGAAACATAGATTCGCATGCCCAGATTGTTTTAGACATACTTGAAAGTTTCCCAGTAACTGAATCAAGCAGCAAAATAGCATTTTCCTTTGATATTTGCATCTGCACTGAAAACACAAGGTCATCTTTTTTAGAAGAAATATTTTGCCTTCAAAGTCAAATCAAATCAGTTTTAAAATTACATCTGTCTGTTGGAGGTAAGTAAATTCACTAACTCTTGTGTCAACTTGGTGGTATTAATGTTAAATTAAAATTTAATTAGAAATTAAGTTCCTTGGTCACATGGGCCACACTTCAAGTGTTCAACAGCCACATGTGGTTAGTGACTACTATCATACTGGACTGCACAGCTAGAAATGCCCCATGCAAGGACCCTCCCATCTCCCGGACTAGACTGTGTGCCAGCTGTACAAAATCCAGCTGATCACGTGTGCTCCTCATATCCTCCAGGCCATCTCACTCCTTCAGGGATAAAAAGAGTGAGACAGTGGGGTAGGGGGAGTATGGAGGGGAAGGGAGAGTGGGGGGTGGAGGGGAGAACTAAAGGAGCATCATGCCTGGGTGGCTTAGCAAGCTTCACAAATCAAACTACTGGGATATGGGCTGGGGCTACTGCAGGTTTTAGAGACAAGTTTGTGGCAGGTGTTGTGAGGTTTTACTTCTGATTAACTCCTAAGGGGAAAAGAAGTCCTGGGATGCTCTTGAATGCTGGAAAGCCCAGAACACATATATCTATGTCTATGTCTCTATCTATGTCTGTCTCCGTCTCTGTCTATGTCTGTCTATGTCTATGTCTGTCTCTGTCTATGTCTGTCTCTATGTTTGTCTATGTCTATGTCTGTCTCTGTCTATGTCTGTC